CAATTTGTATAGACAACAGATTACGTCAAATGGCTTTTTTCGTGTTCGCCAAAGTGGGCAAAGGGCGGTTTTCGAGTTATGTTGAAAGATTTTGAAATACGAAATAAGCTCTATCTGTAGTAGTTTGTTTCGTTATTATATAAAACAAATAGATTCCATGTTGCGGTGCGTCTGTTCAGTAATAGATCACAGAAGACCTCAAAATGTAGTAAGAACAAAAAAGTGGCACACGAGGCGGTAACATCAGTGACACACTCGGCTACCGCCTCGTGTGCCACTTTTTTGTTCTTACCACATTTTGACGTCATCTGTGATCTATTAATGAACAGACGCACGGCAACATGGAATCTATTTGTTAAATAGATAATGAGTAGCGTAGCCAATCAGAGCACGGCATTCGTGATAGAACGCTAGTAGATTTATACTAATAACGACTAAATTATGAGCTCGAGATTTCTATCGCGTGATAGTTGACGAGGGCGCAGCCCGATTCAGCAATAGAAATCTAGAGCGCACAGAAATTGAGAGCGAATAATCCAATTGTTTTATTATAAATCTACTAGTCGTTCAAAACTTTATCTAAATCCTCTTGGCAGACACTTCGAAAACGCAAAGAAGCGGCCTCCAGTTCGTTAATATAACCGCACTCTGTTAGGCTACTCGTTATCTACATCAGCATGACACGCTTAGCCAATGAGAGAATAGCATTCGTGATAGAACACTAGTAAAATTCTACTAACAATATATTTTTTTCGTGTTTTAGGCAGTGCCACCGAAAGTAACAGCAAAGATGAAGAAGACCCGGATGTAGAAGAAGCTGTGAGGGAATTGGTTCCCGACCTCGCTACAGAGGACGATGAAGCTCATTTAAATCTCTCTCTGGAGGAAGAATCTTCAATTATCGCTGAGTATAGAACACTGCTTTTATCGGCTGGTTACGACACCAATTCTGCCTCCTTGAAACCCTGAAAACATGGACATGTCATAATTATCTGCCCTTATGAACGGGATTAATGATGAATATGATTAATGTCTACTAGCTGATAGCTAACTAAGAACCAAGAATCTCGCCAGTCAAATCGTGTGTCTCCAGAGCCATCTTTCCCTCGTGCCTAGGCCCTGCCAGCGGACGAGAATGAGGAACCTCGTTGCCAAGACTAAAATCCGGCAACAACTTAGTTTAAGCCGCATTGAATCAAACATGACTCGGGCCCGGGAACTCGGACCCGGTCTCTGTACCCTCGCGGTTATTTCCGTTGTCAACGAGAGAGACGAAAAAAATTACACACTGATAACGTGGCAAACCAGTGTGGCGGCTGCCATGTTTGGATCTGCACATCACTGAAAAACCCAGGGGTAAAATGCAGACTGAGGGTAAAATGCAGACTGCAAACCAGGGGTAAACTACAGACTTCTAAGTATATTATTATATCGTGTTAGTTTCATTATCGAGTGCTAACCGTAAACGAAGGTATCCAGGCTAATCGGAGTGAAAGTCTGTAGCCCGGGTAGCCTGAATATCACTCCGGTTAGCCCGAATAACGCTTCGGTTAGCCTGTTTACGGTTAGCTCTCAGAGGGAAATGGCGACAAGATTCAGTTAAAAAGTCTACAATCTGCGTTTTAACCTTCGGCCTTCATTTTACCTCCTGTTGTAACACTGACCGTTCTGGCGACGAAAATGTGGAGCTGGCACCGAAAGCCAGGCGATTATACTACACGTGGCGAGAGGAGACGGGGTGCTCGACGAGTCAAAATCAATCATTGATCATTGGCATCCATTTGTCGTCTGAGAAGAACGATAAATGTTCAGCCCAAAACGTTCACAGAGAAGTATTTCTTGTACGATTTGGCAAAAAAATTAGACCGTATCTGGTTAGAAGCCCATTCTTTCGTGCTCGTAAGCAC